CCCCTTCCACGATAAATCTTCTAACTGTTGTCTCTCATTAGTTCCTTTGTCTGGCTCTGAACCCGTAGGTGACGACAGAGATTCTGAATTAACTTTTGCTGCCCTGGGCGTGCTTTGTCGTGTTCTGGCGGTGGCTGTGATCATCGCTGTCTTGGTCATCAGACGTCGAAGAAGTAAGTATATGAGGTATATTATATATATTTGCTTTTTTTCTCGAAACTTAGTCTACAAAGCGCGTTCATAATGTAACAGTTAAAACATTAACAAACAAAAGAAAAAAAAAGACTTCTGTAACATTATGAAAATCGGATAATTCTAAGTTAAGCAACGCTTTTCGTAAATCCTGTTTATTTTTTCCTTCTCCAGGAACATAATATGTACCCTACATCATTTATATTAGACAGGTATAAATGTATATAGTGAACGTTATTTAGAACGCGACGTTTTTTTAAAGTCAGAAATGCTCCTATCGTCACGATTTTTGGAGACACAGGCGAGCAGTTGTTAATTCACGGGTCCAACCACGATTTTTGGTCACTTTCACGAATACTTTTCAACACAGCACAGTAACCTGAGTTTTTGTCAAATATGTTAATTAATGAATCGCAATACTACTCATGAAAAGAATTTAACTCACTTAGAAGATGATGAATAGCTTTTTCCTAACAATAGTCCTGACATTGTGGGGATCAGTTTTATTTTTCTTGCAATACAAGACGCCTCAACTTAGCAAAGTTGACTGCAAAATTTGCCTCCGTCTAGTTCAAGGCGGAAAATCTGCCCGAGAATCCACAAGGCAGCTATATTGCAGTGCTTGTATTGTTTCTTGACTTGCCCAAAGATTTTAGCATGCTTGAAATTGAGGGGATAGACAAAGAATGGGACAGCTGAAGTCACCAGCCCTGTCTAAGACAAACAGACCATGTGGTCTCATCTGTTGAATCGTTTCCTTTCTGCAAAAGCAACAGCTCAAGGCATGCAAGGAGTGAAGCAACACAGTCTCTGGAAGGTCACAACATGAATATCATGGACTGGCCAGTGTTTGTTTGTTTGTTTAGTATAGGGTTTTACGGCGCTCGCAACTGCATAGGTCATATGAGCGCGCGGGACACACCTAATATTTTTCAGTTGGTAGGAAATTTGGAATTTTGCCCGGGTGGCGGCCGAAGCCTACTCTTGTCGATTTTAGACCACCAAGGGATCTTTAACGTGCGCAACTTGCACACGGGCCCTCCGAGATTTTTCGCCCTTGTCCGAGAAGGCTAGGTGTAGATCTTTCCTACCAGAAGATCAGGGGTGTGGCAGAAAGGCTGGCCAGTGTGCATACCGGACATTTATCAAAGGCAGACAAAATGTAAATTTGCTTTTTCCGAGGATTCTCAAGCTTTGGAATTCATTTTCTCGCAAATGTTATTTCGGAAAGCTGGCGAACCCCGCCGTCTTCAGTAGAAAAAATCTCGGCTTCTATTCAAGGTAAATGGGTATTTTTTCATTGCAGGCAAGACAAACAAATGAGTTTTCAGACGATACTAATTTGCCGAAAAGCAGAGATGGCAGAACTGCTGCTCTATACACTGAGTCTTGTGTTAAGGTTCAGTCCTCTTGTTCTAAAGTTTGCCGACTGTTTTACCGGCATTGTCAATTCTGTAGACCACATCCTTGTCAAAATTAACAGAGTGAGATAGAGTGCTGAAAAGGTAGACAAATCTATTTGCCTCTGACAGTCTCTGACCGTTGATGGGGATTTGAGGTATAACATGGAGCTGTCGGCTGGTTGGTACAGAACTTTATCTTCTTGGTGGAAATATTGAGGCCGAAGTTGACGCAACCTTTAGAAAATAGGTCCAAACCTCCTTTCATGTTTGAATATGCACTGGCCTTCAGCACACAGTCGTGGGCAAAGAGGAAATCACAGGCTAAGTCTGCACGAACTTTAGTCTTTCTCTGAAACCTCTAAAGGTTGAACAGTTTCCCGTCAGTGCGGTATAATCGAAAACCGACACCGATCTCTTTGTCATGGTAGGCGTCGGTCTTCATTACTGAAAACACCATGCTGAACAGGGGTGGGGTGGGGGTGGGGGTGGTAGGGTGGGGAGGGGTAGCATGAAGCCCAGCTTAGCTCTGTCAGTGATGAGGAAGGGTGGGGAGGGGTAGCATGAAGCCCAGCTTAGCTCTGTCAGTGATGAGGAAGGGTGGGGAGGGGTAGCATGAAGCCCAGCTTAGCTCTGTCAGTGATGAGGAAGGGTGGGGAGGGGTAGCATGAAGCCCAGCTTAGCTCTGTCCGTGATGAGGAAGGGTTGGGCGTACTCGCTGTCAGCCTGCCCTCTTGTGTTCATGTCCTAATGGAACTGTCGGACCGGACCATTCCGATGAGCTTTGCGGGACACCCGAACCTGGCCATGGTCCTGCATAATCATGTCCACGGTATCCCCCATAATATCCACAATGTCTCTAAGGGAACAGGTCGCATTCCATGTGTGCATGCACCCACCCCGCCCCCCAAACTCCTCCTCCGTTCACATCAGACAAACCAGAGAGCGGAGGAAAAGGACAATAATAAATGGACATAACTCAGACAAGAGCATCCATGGGTCGAGTCAGGGACATGGCGATATCTTTCATCTCTTGGTCGTGTCTCCAGACCCAGTCTTTGAAGCTCTCTCCTTAAGTAGAGTAATAAACGTTTACTTTTATACATTAACTATTCTAGAGTGGTCACTGTCAAGGTCGCCACCTTTTGCTCTCTGTAAAAACTTGACCTCACTACTGTAGACCATAGATAGACGATTGAAGGGTAAAACACCAATCTTGCTTTAGTGGAGTGTACATACAATCTTTCTCTCCTTGTCCTTCATTCAGTTCCAAATTGAGTCAAATGGCACACTCAATGGTGAACCGGAATAACACCAGAAAGCACAGTCTTGGATATCACAATACAAGTGTACGGGAAGAGCTGATATTTGAACTGGTAAAGTTTGGATTTAACCCCCCCCCCTTCCCACGTCGAATCACATAATATAAGAGCCGAACATAAAAAACAACTATCACCAGTATAGGGCCCCGAGCCGAGAGGGTGAAGAGCTCAGAAAACCTCTCAAACACGGGAACCAAGCACATACCACCATTTATGCTCAGACACTTACGTCTAATCACCTTTAATGTATTAGTCTATTGGGCTGCAATTTAGAAAGACAGACAGACAGACAGACAGACAGACAGACAGACAGACAGACAGACAGACAGATATATAGACAGATAAATAGATAGATGTAAACTTTTGATAAGACACTCACAACTTTTCTATTGTTTCCACTTTTTCCCACCAGATGGATACACAAGAATGGACGTTCCGGCGGTGAGTTCAGTTTGTCTGAAAGGGCTGTATGTTGACAAGGGGCGGCTTATGGTTTGTAGAACTGACCGGCTGGAATTCACTTTGAATACCCCCCCCCCCCCCTTACAACAGAGAGAGAGAGAGAGAGAGAGAGAGAGAGAGAGAGAGAGAGAGAGAGAGAGAGAGAGAGAGAGAGTGCGTGTTCATTTTGGGCCCTCTGTTGTTGTCAGGACATTCAACGTTAACACAAAACTGACGTTGGCTGTCCTGCCTGGCAATAGCAAAAAACACCGCAGAGCGCGACGATGGTTATATTTCTCTGATTTTGAGTAAAAACCTACTATCCTTCTCGGGGGACAACGCTCAAATGTCATTGCAGTTTTTGATAAATAAAAAGCTAACTTTCATTTTTTTAAAAACAGAATGAAAGAAAAATCCGCCTCGTGGTGGGGGAAAAATGCCAGGTTTCTATTTTTGGGTGTTGCTGCTGTGGACACTAATTGAAGCACCAGTATGATATTTTTACATGCCCTACTTTTTAGACTATTTGGTATTACTCACGTGAAAGGAAATGCGTAAAAACTGAAAAGTGTACAATTTTTATACAATCAAAAATTGGTACCTTTCTTTTGAAAGCCAGTATACGAGTAGGATAACAACAATAACTTCACGGAATACTTTGGGCCTGTGAGTCGTGAGAGTATGTGGGGTGTGTGGGAGAGTACAAATCAAACAGTTCTGTATTAGCGTACCGCCTGACGCCTTGTCGAGTCTCTGATACAGTATCCTCCTTTTGTCTCGAAGCTGCTGTCGTGACATTTTTCACATCGTCCGCTGGGTTCAACTGCAGAAATGTAAAGAAAATTGCAAATTGAGCCAATTTCCTAGTTCTGAGTCTGTCTATTCCTCCTTCGTCCCATTTGTTTTTTTGTTCTTTTTGATAAAAGTTTTGCGGCACATGCAACATATATAAAGCCGAAGATGTTACGAGAATATTTTAAAGTTGAAATGTTTGCTCCCCCATCGACACGATTTAGATTGTTTAGAAGGTCAGCTTCCGACCCCACCTGTCAGAGCCCGCCAGGCTTGATAGGGATATATCCCAACAGAAGGACCGAAATGCTCTACATAAAATGTTCTATATAAAATGTTCTATATAAAATGTTCTATATAACATGTTCTATATAAAATGTTCTATATAAAATGTTCTATATAAAATGTTCTATATAAAATGTTCTCCTCACTTGGAAATCGAATTCGGTTTTCCTGCGAGGAGACAGCGAAGAAATCGAACAGCTGCACCACAGGCCGGTGGTGTCACTAGAGAAAAGGACAGTAGATGTTTGAAAGGAAAGAAGGAGCACACCTCACCAGGGCACCCACCAACCATCTACCGTTCCGCATCTATTCGCTCACTTTGGATAATTCTTAGCTCAGATGTAGCGATTGGCGCTCATGTGACCTTATGCAGTTGCAAGTGCCGTAAAACCTCTACTAAAACAAACAAGAGGTAGTGAACTTTTTGTATGTGATTTTTTTTGTCCAACTTCCCAGGCAAAGGAGAAAACAAGAACCACACACCAGTACGTGAACGTCAACACAGACAAGGCCTACTTAGACAGATCGTCTGCGGGGCAAGTCATGAGAGCCAACGTCAATCTCCTGTTGTTAAACTCTTCAAATACTTGTCAACTTGTGACCAGCCGCTCATATGACCTTATGCAGTTGCGAGTGTCGTAAAAAAAGAGCGTTGTGCTACAGCATCGAATCAGACAAAAATTTTATTTTATTCGAAACAGTTTCATTTGCCGTCAGTTTAATGGTTTATTTTTATAAATGTGTGTACCTCTGATTCACAAAGTGTGATATTTCTGGTTAAAACTTTAGTGTCATGTATTTGCAGTAGCCCTTTTTACATGTGAAGAGGCAGTATTTTTTGGGACAGGATTTGCAGAAATTATAAATCGGTGATTTCTTTCTTTTCTAGTTTTGCCTCCAGATCTCCCAGCCTACACATTTTGTTGTTTTTCTTTAACCTTTCCCTTTCTCGGAGATGGTGTGCACCTCTTCTTTAGCTCAGTCTAGGACTGTCTGTACATGATTTAGACCTTCAACGAATACCCATTGTTAGGGTGAGGGTTGCACATTGCCAGATGAACATCACTGCGAAACACCCCACAAAAATAATTTGATGTTGTGACGGTTCTACACAGATTATTATTTTTGTGATGTGAAATGGCTGCGTTCTTCAACAAAGATTTTATGGATATTATCTGCCAATGTATCTGCTGCGCCCGAGTCTGGTTTCACCTACATGGCGGAAAATGCTAAGTGTCATCATGTAAGGCAAATCAATTCGAACCATGCCAGGCAGTATGTTTGTAAGTTCTAGTTAGGCCCAGTTTTTGGATTTTTTTAAACCCCCGATCAGACACTTAACAGTGGGTACTCGAATGAAATTTAAACAGAATAAGGTGCTAGTCATACTGTTGAAAACAAGCAACTTCCAATTGCAGTTTTGACAATATAGTAATATAAAGCAAGCATAATTCAGGTCTTTCCAGGTCGCTCACACGCATGACAATTGTGCAGCGTCACATGTGTGAACTGAAAACATTCCGATTTCCCTGAAAAAGAAAAAAAAATACACATGAAAAAACACCCAAGCTATCTGTAGTTATGCCATCCATGATGACTGCAGGCACTTCTGACAATTTTTAAATCGATCAACTTCTTGTGCAAGTTGTATCTGTTGTCTTTTGAATCTGAAAGCTAAAGAGAATAATTATGTTTGTGTATGTTTTTGTTTTTATTTTGAACTGCACTGATAAACAACAAATATTATCTATTTGAAAAGAGTGGGTTTTTTAAAAATACAATGCTATATTGTGATCTCATGTTGTGTATCTTTGAGCATAAAACGCATTTGCAAATTATTCTTGTCCAAGCGAGCTTTTTAGGGACAAATCCTAGGGTGTTATTTCTTGCGTCCGCAGAGCAATTTTACTATTTATATGTTTCTTATGTCATGTTTGCTCAGGAAATAGATGGTGTTCTCTGGCAGATTGTTGTAAACTTTACATCAAAGTTCATTAAGTCAATTGCGTTATTTGTGAAAAGGAAACTTGAAACTTCGATTTGTCTCATCCAGTCTTCAATACAGTAATGGGTTGACTCTACTTGTGCTGAATTCGCTTGGGTTGATCTTCGGGATGATCTTTTTCTCGGATTCCAGGACCTCTTCTTTTTTACATTAAGTCAAACGGTTATGTTGAGTTCAATTTCAAATATAAACACGCCTGAGTTGAAATACTTTTTTTCTACATCCGTTGCAAGTAGGCAAAGGTTGTATAGATTTTTAAAAACTGATTGATTTATTTATATATCGTATATTTATTTATTTATTTATGTGGACCGCCAGATGTTTCACAGCAGTTTTGATGTCAAATTATGCATAGTTGATCAACGCGCAATAGGCCTACATAGTATCTCAATGAAACGATGAACGGAATGGAATTTATTTATGTGGAAGCTGGAAAATTCACACTCTGATATTGACGTCATCTTTACAGAAAATTTGGAAAAGTTTACTGACAGTAGGGGCAGTCACTCGGAGGCGAACAGGCTTTTGAAGCAACAGTGAAGGGGCGATACCGCGGCAAGATCAAGCTGGGCTTTGGTCTGTCTGCGTTATGCAATTATTATAACGTCTCTGTCAACTTGACAATTTATTGTGCTCGGTTGAGTAGGGAAGACATCAGGCGAAGTTCGTCCATAGAGCACGGTCGTGCTGTCCCGCCCCAATTGTTTTAATGTACTATTATGTATAACACCTACAATAATTAATAAATAAAGGACGCCAGGAACAAACACTAACAAACGTTATTGTCATTTCTGTGTCTATAGCGCCGTAAAACATCTACTATGCCATGCCAAAGCCCACACGCTTTAACTAAACATAATAGAAGATTCAACAGTGGCAACCATACCTATAAATCGCTATTTGGGATAACCCAAGCGATGACGACACTCGTAGCGAGTTTGGCGGTTCATTAATAATAATAAGACGACACATCTCACATGTGCTCCTGTCGAATAGTGCCGAAACATAGCCCACAATAGGCAGTCTAAAAATAAACGCGATAGACTGTACAATATTCTATGCCAAGATTATGTGAGCCCCGGAGCAATCCAGTTGGGTGCTCAAGTGAATTCTGATTGGTTCATTGTCTTGCCACTATTTAAAGTGACTCTGTGGCCGTGAACCTGAGGGAGGTGAACGTGACATACTTAAGTCACCGTCCTATGACTTGTGTCTTTGAATGGTTTTGTAGTGAAGTGGTAAAAGTTATAACTTGAAAGTTCAGTTCTAATGTAGGATGAACGAAATTGACGTTTAGTTGACAAACAGATTCAGTTCTAGAAATGAAAGAGACAAGTAAAAAGAATGAAAATAAAGCAGTAGGTTCTCCCTCACCAACCCAAAGATCCTAAAAGTATGCACCATCCCAATTACTATGCCTGTGACTATCTATAGCTTGTTATAGCTTAATTAATTGTGCACGCCCACTTTTTAGCCCCATGAGCCGCCCCTGGAAGACATAGCACCACACGTCATGTCATTACAGCTGTATTTGGCAACGTAGAAAAATTACATCATGTAATAATATACATATGATTATGTGATTTTGTGTTATGTTATTTCGTGTTAGTCTGTCTGTCTGTCTGCGGTTTTTTTTTCTTAATTTTGATAGACTTTGTCAAATAAATGTAGACAATGTAAAAATATTATACGAAATTTTGTGCAGCGTGTCAGTTTTCACACGGTTGGCTGAGCAAGCCCTTAAATCCACGCACCGTCAACATCATAGACACAATTTTGTCCATTCAGCCGAATCTATCAGATCGGTTCAGTTGAAAAAAAAAAGACAAACACAAAAAAGCAACAACACTCAACATGATTCAGATCGTTCCACTGGTTCACAGCTGCTGTTTTATTCAATTTATTAACGAGTTTGTCTCGGGGAGTGCATCATCAGATTCTGTCAAAAGTTCTTTCTGGGAAATCAGAATCGTCTCAACTCCTCGTACAGACCCGTATGTTGTAGAACAACTCCTGGTGGGATGAATATCATTCACACACACACACACACACACACACACACACACACACACACACACACACACACATACACACACACACATCATACACACACACATACACACAT